CCGTTCCCACAAAGTTACAAGCACACAACTGTCCAAAATGTCCTGCAAACATGAACAGGTAAGCTTTAGTGGTAGCTAAAGACTCAGTGTGCTTAACTTACAGAATTAAATTACCTATCATAAAAAGAGCCTCCAACAATTTGAAATGCTTTTATGCTGACTCTTTTAATTTTGCTCAGTGCCCAAAGTGCTGCGGACATGCTTGCTGACAAGCCACAAACCACAAGATGTGCCAACAGGGATACAAGCAACACACATCAGTACCTATAAAACACTGGCAGGCGACAGTATCGTGATACAAACGTCTCCCGACTCTCAAGTGGAAACAGTTTGACTTAGTCAGTTAGTCTAGTTTTTGTCATACAGCGGTTAACTTATTTTTACACTTGCACACGAGTGTAGGAGGTTCCACTGTAGAACAATGTGCAAGTGTCACTGGGTGATAGTATCGGGGGATTCCCGTGGCGACCTGTGTTGGAAGCATGTGTGCGTGTATGCGTGTCCCCATCCATCATCATCACACACTTCCCTCCCACAGTGCATTCAAAAATAGACGTGTGTGTGAACATGACCTCTCCCACACATAAACACGTTCACACTCACACAAGTAAACACGCCCGCTTGGCGATGCCATTGTGTCGCTACGTCCGTGTGTGCGTGTGCGTGTGTGTAAGGGTGGGCGGGGGTGTGTGTTGTATCAGCACTTGTTGGCTTTTTGCTTCGTCCTCCCTCCTCGATTCTGTCTCCTACCTAGCCACCAAGTCTACAGTCCACGCCAAATTTCCTTGACGCAAAGGATTGGTTACATCTCTCACGCAAACACACACACACACAAAGACGTTTGTCTCAACACAAGAAGTTATAAAGTCTGTCTTGTCCTGATATAAGAAACAGATGACGTTTGTTTGTACCTGGACACCCAGTAAAGCAGGGGTGTCAAACTAGCATTTGTTGTGGGAAACATTGGAATGAGCGTTTCCCTCAGAGGGCCGTGGTGACCAAAACTGTGTGAATGTCTGGATGCCTCGTTATATTATGAACCATAAATATTTGATGGAAAATTAATTTTGGGTGTAGATTATTCAATTATTGTTCTTTTTAGGCTTTGGTAACAATGCTCGTGATCAAAAGTGAAGGCAATTTGCCACTTGTGGTGCAGATTTTGGCAAGAAACATGACATAGTGGTCGACTGGTTAGCGCGTCGACTTAACAGTGCAGAGGTGAAGGGTTCAATTCTGGCTCCTGCCATGCATGTTTTTGGAATATGGGAGGAAACCGGAGTACCCGGAGAAAACCCACGTAGGCACGGTGAGAACATGCAAACACCACACAGGAAGGCAAGCGATGGACTCGAACCCTGCACCTCTGCACTGCGAGGCAAACATAGTAACCAGTAATCAATCGCCCACCGTGCCGCCGGTATTGTTATATTCACTTTTAAAATTTCCTGTTGTGTGTTTTTAGGGATGGCTGTGCCGATTTCTCTGAGAGAAAAAAAATCACCTTGTGTCCACGTGAAATGCTGAGACTTTGTTTGTGAAAAGGCGTCAAAGAGGACAGTGATGCCTCAAAAAGAAGCCTTTATGTTCATTCACTCCCCTCACTCTGACACACACACACACACACACACACACACACACACACACACACACACACACACACACACACACACACACACACATTGGACAGGGGCAGTTAGGAGGGGTACTTCCTCCTGGTGGTCAAGCAGGAGGCTCCGAGACGCCACTGCAGCACCCCCTGGAGCCATGTGTGTGCGTGCGTGTGCACATATTTGTCATTTCATTGTGGTGAAGGGTGGGGGGGACAATCCACGGCAGAGATGTTAACATATCCTGCCCTGTTCAACTTGAATGGTCTCCTAATGACTTAAAAGAAACATTTGGAAATGTTCAGTGTCATGTAACACATATCTATGTATCTGTGTGTGTGTATTTTTATACAGCGGAAGCTTGATTCAACGGAGAGAAAATAGTCTCCAGACAACTCAAAACAGCCTTTCTAAAATAGTTTTTTAAATTAGTGAATTCCAGAATTGGCCACAATTAGGAGCAATATACCATAGTGTCAATAAACGGTGCTGTGGTGCCACATGCCACATTGGTCCGAGTAGCCCTACATGTAGAGGGCAGGTCAAGGCGGCTCAACAAGTGGTGCACCTGAGCCTTTGGGTTCAAAAGTTGTGGTGAAAAGACATCCTACACATAGAATTGAGTGGCATGGGTGCATTACCGCGCGGAAAGATCAAAATGATCAGGTGCCGAGTTCTGTAAAAGTGTTGCTGGCATCCCACGGAGTCATTCATGCCAGAACGCTTACATTATTAACTGTAGAATCGCAGAAAATGCAGCAATGTGGTGTAGACAAAGCGCTGGATGAATGCACGCCATTTAAACAAGTACTTTTGATAAGTAACGACAAACCTAATTGTTTTTAAGTCATCTGTGGAGTGGTCATTTTCCAAAATCTCATATGGAGTATGAACGAATTGGAGGTTAATCAGCATCCTGGATTGGATTTGTGTTCCACTTTACATGTCTCACTGTAGACTGAACTTTTTCCCTGAATCTACATTCTGCCTACATCAAGGACTTACATATGATGACAACTAAAAAAAAAACAATTCGGCAAAAAGAAATTGAGAAAGATGTCCCCAACTCCCGGTCCCAGCTTTACATTTGAGTTAGTCATGTTCTTAAGATGCCTCTCATATCTAAGCTATGAACTCCGGTCCTCTGTCCTGATCCGGTTCAAGATGACGTCCTCCCGTCTTAGTTGCTGTGTGTTCAAAAATTTGACACGTCAGACGATTCGGGTCAGTGAGGCCGAGCTGTATCCCGGTGGCTTTCGTTTAATCTGACTGGCAGTGGAAGACTCACGTCGAAGATACCGACTTGTTTACGCTTGCAGAACAGGTGGTTTGATACCTTCATCTCAGCGGATTTGTAGCAGCAAAGCCTTTGTTGGCCTCCACCGCCGCTCTGCCATGCACTTGACCCTCAACGTTTTCTGAAGAACCCGCGTGAGCGTCAGCAACAATGCAGCAGAGACATTGTGCTTGAAAACGTCATTATCTTTTTACTAGGTTGTGAGCCAGCAACAAAGACAGGTGGAGGCAGCAGAAGTGAGAATGCCATCTACAAATAACGTAATAACGCCTGCTGTTATGCGCAAGCCTCAGTCACGCACACACACACGCACTGTCGATTCATGCTTCAATACAGAGTGCATGAGAGTATTTACGGGGATTTTTTTTTCGTACATCGGAGTCAGCATTCAGGATCAAGTGCATCTTATGCCTGCCTAAAGTGAGGGAAATAATGGTATTAAAAATGTTCTCATCTAACCTGGGAGATGACTCCAAATTTTATGAATCCTTTGAAGTCACGCCGTCAGGCGAATGTGTGTTCACGTCACTCATGAGCCAACACGCAGATCTTTACACTACTGAAGTTAATTCAAGCAGAATTAAAATTCCAAACACTTACTTTGAAAAAGAAAAAAAAAACACTTTACACTCCCCCCTTTACTGAAATACATTCATGAGCAGAAAATTACGAATGATACTTTGAGTACAGCAACTACTTTAATAATTTTACTCAAGTAGTATGCTATGAGGTATTCAAAATTATTTTCCGTGAAAGTACTTTAACACAAGTATGAAATCACACTCAGGTACTTGATACAAGATTGGCAAAAATGGATATAGATGATCTAAATATCGAATTGTCACCGTTAGAAAACCGTTATCACTGCACAGGCAGTGGTTTAACAATCAGTCCAACATTCCTAACTGCACAAATAAGTGACCTCACACTTTGGTGTCTTTTCCATGACTTGAATCCTTTTTGTGTTTTGATCCATAAAACACATAAAAACCAGAGCAAAAAACTCAAATAAAATTGTGCACCGTTTTCATCCTCAAGGCCAGGGGGCCAGATTTGGCCTGCCGCATCATGTTTTGTGGCCCCTGAAAGCAAATCATGTGTGTCGACTCCAATGATTCAAACCAATCTGTCCCAATTTTATAAATTGCCACATGGAATGAAAAATAACTGAGCTATTGCGAGCTTCTTTTTTTTCTTTGTTGCCAATCCCATTTTCTTGAAAATAGTCGAACAAACTATTATCCTAGACATCTGATTTCAAAATTAGTCATAGAAAGTACATCAAGTGGTTTCTTAGTCATCATGTTCTGGCTTTTTTTACAGGCATACTTCAATGGCATAAGTGCTGGTTGAATTCTAAATCATACTACTTCAAAGGCGTTTGACAGATTCCACTGCAGGCACATACATCCGTGAGAGTGTGTGTGTGTGTGTGTGTGTGTGTGTGTGTGTGTGTGCGTGTGCGTGTGTGCGTGTGTATGTGCGCGCACTAACGTTTCTAATGTTTGTGTGTGTCTTGAATGTGTGTACTGAAGTGTGTGAGGCACGGTCAATTCTCGTTTGGGCACAAACAATGGAACCTCTCTGATTACATCTTCCCTGTACAGCGGGCAGGGTGTGCGTAAATGTGTGCGTGAATATGCGCATGTGTGGTGTGTGTGTGTGTGTGTGTGTGTGTGTGTGTGTGTGTGTGTGTGTGTGTGTGTGTGTGTGTATGTGTGTGTGTGTGTGAGGGATGGAGAAAAGCAGGGCGTGGGATTGGGGGGGGGTGCTCAGAAGAAAGGGGGTACTGGTGGTCCTAAAAACTTTGCCTCCCCCTCTTTTCCTCCTCTGTGACCACCACTGTTTCCTCACACACACACACACACACACACACACACACACACACACACACACTCACGCTCACACAGGTCCCCTCCCCTCACTGTTTCCTGGCATCTCATTGGTTAAATTCACATCTATGACTGCGTGTCATTGGCCTTGTGTGTGTGTGTGTGTGTGTGTGTGTGTGTGTGTGTGTGTGTGTGTGTGTGTGTGTGTGTGTGTGTGTGTGTGTGTGTGTGTGTGTGTGTGTGTGTGTGCGCGCGCGCGCTCCTCTGCGAATACACATATGCATATATAAAAATATGCTCAGCGTGGGTCGGTGAACTCTGGCCACAAGTTCTCAAAGTTCCGAGCGGGAAGGACAGATGCGAGCCAGTGAGTCAGACAGCTCAGAACCAGCAAACCAGTCGCTCCAAAACGAAGGCAGTGGGAAAAGCAGAGACTTGGTGGAATATCTTCTGAGGAATATTTTGGTTTCTGTCCCATTGTCCCGCCCCTGTCGGATCTCCATGTTTGTACTCAGGATTTGTGGTCCAAATCCATCACACTCTCCCGATCCGTCTCCCCTTCATCTGAAAGCGTGTGTGCTTATCCCTGAAACTTTGCAACCCAACAAACTGAGACAGACGTTTGCAGAATTCCACTTGGACTAAAATCAAAGTAGTCAGCAAGAGCAGTTCTGGAATGAATTTAACCGAGACCAGCTTGTCTCGGGGGGCTCTGCTGCATCCCGGCCAGGTGTCTCTCGTGAGTCCGACGTGGGCCTCAAGGACCCCAAGTCCTGCTTCTGATCTTGAAATGGGGTTTGAGCAGAACATCTCCGGAGACTGCAGCTCTCCCAGTGACCACGGAGGCACCAGGAGAGCAGAGCCCAGGGGGCTCGCCACAGAAGGGGGCCTGAGTCCAGATCTGGCGGGAGGCTCGGGCAATGGCAAGGGTGTGGGGGGCGAGCAAAGGATCCGTAGGCCCATGAATGCCTTCATGGTATGGGCAAAAGATGAGAGGAAGCGACTCGCCTTGCAGAACCCAGACCTTCACAACGCTGTGCTCAGCAAGATGCTCGGTAAGACAAACACCGCCTCAGAAAAGTTGGGTGTAAAAGCCCTTTTAAAATTTTACTAATAGCGACAATTTAGGGTCCGTTACATCTTTTTCAGCAGTTTCAACACTCATTTTTTGTAAAACAGGAAGTAGTTTTTAACTTAATTTTTCCCTACATACTTGGAGACACTTAAGGCTGGGGTTGACTAGTCTCCTACCATCTGGTCCCATTTCATTTTATGAAGTGAAAAGTGCATTTCTGAGCGCAGTATTACGGAACTCGGCACAGGACAACTTCATGTGTAAAATAATAAACACTTTCACCCGATAACTACTTTTATGGTATACTGTATATACTGAGTACAGTAATGCTCCATAGGACACATTATTACAACCACACAGTTCATTGCATTCAGTTTATTTCAGTTTTCTAATGATACTCTAATTTAAAAAAAAAAAACTAAAAATAAGTTTTATGCGGTCAAAAGAGCAAATGCCCACCCTAAACTTTTGCACTAAATTCTCCCAAGGCGCATGCATGTATTTATGACTACATGCGTAATGCTGCTGTCACTTAATGCCTGTTCGCTGCATCTCAAATGATTTAGCATTTAACAAATGAAGGATACAGCAATTTCCACATTCAACTGGAAACGTGTTTCTGTCACATATTTTATATATATATATATATATATATATATATATATATACAAACACACACATACATATATATCTATATAATATAAGTG